CGCGACTTGGTAACACGCCTTTCCCCGCGCTTGTACTGAGTCACGCGTGTTCACTATGAGTTCTCATGTGTCACTTCGAATATTCCTAGTTGCTCTCATTGGCCCTCGAAACTACCTTGGATGCGATTTAAAAACCTCTGGAAAAGTGTTGGCTTTATGAAAGTATACTATAAAAGGAAGAAAGAAGCCTTTCCCCAAATCAGCTGGGCGCTTTGCCAAAATATCGCAAAACGACCTCCTTCTAAAGGCAAAACTGTATCAATAGGAAGATTACTAAATGGCCGAAAACTAACGGACTATCACACTGAGCGGACATTTATTGCCTTACCTGAGAGGGAGAATTCTGGTTCGATAGAGTATGGCGCGAAGTGTCCACTGCACTTCTTTGCCGCGAATGTAGAGGGCTGAACGTAAATTGCTGTAGTTATGAGGAAAATTGAAGCCTTCCTGAAGAACTGTGGTCATTCAGGCTGCTTTGAAACACTGAAACCTGATACAAAAAATATTTCAGCATCATCAATACACCTGTTCAAAGAAAATAACGAGTTTTATATGATAATTAGGCAATGGAAATTTATTCGATTAAATTTCGCCCAGCACCAAGTAAATTGAGGCTAGTGAAACCATGGTAACTCAGAAATAACTTTATGGTACCGGGCGCCTAGTTGGTTTGTAGGTAATTTGTGATTTTGCCTTATGTCTCCGTCATGATTGGTCAAAAAACTTGAATCATCCTTATGAACCAATCAGATGCAAAACTGAAACCGATGGCGCCGTGGTCGCTTTCACTTTCGGGCGCTCACGGCGCAGGTCTAAGCCTTGATTTCTGATTAGCTTCACATGTTACTTTCGGTTGTTCTGATTGGCTCTTGTGATTACCTGAGTTTTGTTTCTTACTTCACTCGTGAAAGTACGCTTATCCTTTAGTTTTGCCAGTCACACATAGAGCAGCTTTTAAAAGTTCGACATAAAAACCCTGAAAGTTGCGAATAAACTGTCTTACTTGAGCCTATGATCATCAGCAAAAGGGTACAGGCCCTTGGAATGACGTGACACGAGAACTGACCAACGTGTGCTGTAGAACCCCTGAAATATTATTGAAAAAAGTCATTCAAATTGTCAAAAAGCCTTTTCGTAAGAACCGTCATGATTATACCAACATACTGGGCCCAGTTGTATGGAGGGCGGATAACGCTACTTAAGGTTTAAAGCAAGTGTCATCCTTTGATGATATTTTTCCTTATTTTCATCCCTGTTATGTCCAAAAATGTATCTATTATGGCATAGAGAAATTCTTTTTGGCCATTTGTGTTGAAAATGTGAAAAATTCCCTCAAGATGTTTAATTCATTGCTCAGCACCTTAGATAGGTAAGATCTGGGAAGATATAAAAAACCCATCCAAAATTAGAGAGCTTTACAAGGATATACATGTAGCCTAGAACAAAGAAATGGATTCTTACTAAATAATGTGAATACACAAGTAAGAAGTATGCTTTCTGACTTTTACATTCCTCCAAGAAGAAAGCCGCTCTCTTAAACTCTTTTAGATCAAAATATGCTTTCCCCAAGATATATTTATCAAAATCTTTCAAAAATTCTGGATCTCGATAATCAGTTACTGGAAGATGTTCAGGTGTTGTAAAGGATGGAATGGATAATACAAACTCAGCTGCCCTGAGCACAGAAGAGAAAATGTATACAACATTGCTGATTGATTTACAGCTATTTAACAATTTTATTTTTTTTAACACGCACCCTTTTTTTAATTAGATTTTGTAACTTACTGCTATGGGGCAACACCTTCCAAATTTTATCTGCAGCCCTCGATGCTAAGGTTGGAAGATATATGATACAGGGATAGAGATGTACAGATGACTTAGAGAGAGTGGAGGTGGTGGGGGGGGACGAGTTTCAGATAGAAATGAAATGCTCTTTTTTTTTTTTAAGTAAACTGGCATGGCTCAATCCATTTCAAGTTCTTTATATTACCTAAGAAATAAGGAAAGAAGAAAGAAAGTCTTAAGCACTCTAAACAACAAACGTGCCTAGTTACAATGATAAGGTTGAGAAACCTTCAAAGTAATCAACAGGTCTATCGGTGTTGAAACAACAAGGCAACAGAGCAGAACTACCGAGACAAATCTACGATTAGAGTGGAGCGAATAAAATAACTCTGCCCCTGGCCTAATCAATAATTGCAGAAACATCGAAGGTTTTCGCCCTATCTGCAGCGAAAAAGGTTTCATATTCCTCCATTTAGTAAGGGATACAAGCTCTTTAATTAGCTGACTCTTACCACTTAGCACTGTGAAGGAAGCCTCTCTCTGAACATTTTTTAACTGCGTAAAGAAGATCTCTCTTGATTTCCGGCAAAGAAACATTCGACACAGCCGCCATTTTGTTTTTCAAAAGCCCGCGCACAACGACGGCGAGGGGATGGTACGAGGGTTACCAGTATTTCCTCGACTTGTAACCTTCTGAGGACATTCTGCTAAAAAGCTATTTGAAAAGTGAGATATTGGGATTTTCGACGTTGCAGTGCGACTACATCATCTAAGTTCCTTTCATTCAATGATCAGTTATCGAGGCTCTCGGTTTAGCCACTTTAAAGAGGCAATTAGGTAATGTCTGATCATGTAGAAAAACAAACAAACGAACGTACAATCAAGGGAAAAAACATAAAGTTGAAATTCTGAAAGAGCTGTGCGTTTCTGCAACCTACCGACAAAGTAAAATATATCAAGAATCCTGAAAAATAGAAAGTTCTGCGCGCGAGAAGGATAATATTGGTAAAAAGCAAACTCAGTTCAGAACAAATTTAATACATCTCCACCTTTGAAAAACATTTATTTAAAGCAGTTACATCGAGATTTTGACAATCATTTATAATGAACGACACTACTAATACAACAAGGTTTGGCTGTCGCAGTAGGCGGATTCATGCTGACGTCACTATTTACATTTTTGCTCATTTGCATACGGCTTTGCGTAAAGAAGGAAGCATGTTAGATACAAATTGACTTCAGGCAGCTAAAGAGCTAGAAAACCTGAGTACATGGTAAAATTTTTAGCTCTTTGGGTGTAATA